GAGAGAGAGAGAGAGAGAGAGAGAGAGAGAGAGAGAGAGAGAGAGAAAGAGAGGCCCCCTCTCGAAAAAAGACAAAAAAAAAGAAAACCAACAAATACGGAGTATTGCGGATACGTGTTCAGAACAGCGCATCTTCACATAGATACTAGAGGGCAAGCTATTGCGGGCACGGACACTGCCTACACACTACGCAAGGGTGGTTTATGGTGATATGCGTCGAGTCTCTATGTTGTGTACAATACAAACACATCACCGTCCATACATTTTTTTTTAGTTTGTTTCTCGCTATCCGCAACACTCAGAAAATACCAGAACCTGCACAGACAAACACAAAAGATGTATTCACAGCCGCATCCGATTACCATCGCTTCTCTCGTTCTCCTTCTCTCCGTCTCTCTCTCTCTCTCTCTGTCTCTTTCTCTCTCTCCCTCTCTCTCTCTCTCTCTTTTTCTCCGTGTCTCTCCTTCTTTCTTTCTCTCTCCTAAATCGTCTGTCCGGATTCGACAACTATTTCAATCCACACTTGCTTTCAAACCTCTTACGCTTTTTCCTCCTTCCCTCTCTTTTGTTCTACCATTTCCATTATGCACAGGCGAATCTTCGCGCGCTGCTGCTCGAAGGACGGGAGCAACATCTGCAGAACGTCAACGACGTTACAGAGAAGCACATGTGTCACGAATTTCACCACGCAACGACAGCGGCCGACTCCACACTGCGACCCTTATTGCTACACACACTTTGGTTGACAATGTTAACCTCGGAAATAGAACACCTTGCGACCATTGTGGTGCAAACAAATGGTTCCATGAACGTACATGGACCACACTCTGCTGTCGCCGAGGTCATGTCCCACCACTGCTTTGGCAATACCCCCCCTGCTAACACAGTCGCCGATCAAATCCTCCGATTGTGGGAAGCCGGCACAGCACAAGGCAGATTGTTGCGCTCCCGAGCACGACAATTCAATAATGCTCTGGCACTCGCATCTCAAGTTGTTCGAGAACCGCAACCACCTGCCGACCCTTGGCCTGGCATGGTCAGAATTATCGGTCAATTGCACCATAATCTCGGCCCGCTTCACCCGGAACCCGATCAGGAACCCGCATTCGCACAACTATATATATATGATCCACAAGATGATCATGATGCGACAATTATCCGTTTGAATCGATTTAATTTACCGCTCCAACAAATCAAACAATTATTGCGTAAACTCCATCCTCTTCTATTGATATGTAATGTTTGGGTGCACGATTTCATCACCATATCCGAGCTTCCCAATGATATGATACATGATCGCCATATTGTAATTAACCCCGACGCTTGACCCTTGAATGAACACAATCGAAGATACAATAAACCTCAAGGTCTAAAAAAAATTTGTCTATTAATGCATGACCAACCTGTCAATCGCGAAATTGTTATACATCGGCGAGCTGGTGGCATTGTGCCGATCGATGAAACCAACCGTGCTTTTGATCCATTGCACTATGTTCTCCTTTTTCCATCTGGAGAAAATGGTTGGACACCTGACACTGACGACGAAAATGATCCTGATGCCGCTCGAATCACCGCTCGCGAGTTTTATGCTTTTCACCTTAACACCCGTGCCACTGAACGATTGACATTGTTTTACGCCTCGCGGCTCTTTCAAGAATACATATGTATGACATTTGCGAAAATAGAAAACGGACGCCTTTTGTACAACAGATTACACCAAACTGAAATTCGGGTCGACCTCTACCAAAACCTACATGATCACTTGATGCAATATGACAACACTGAAAACATTGGGCAACGCATTATTTTCCCTGGAACATTCGTTGGCGGACGACGAGATATGCACAACCGTTATCAGGACTCTATGGCAACTGTCCAAGAACACGGACCACCGGATCTCTTTATTACAATCACTTGCAACTCACGATGGCCCAAAATACAAAATGAACTTCTTCATAACCAACAACCCTCGGATAGACCGGATCTGCTTGCGCGTGTTTTCAAAGGATATTTACAACATTTTATTCACGATATTCACTCTTCGCACATATTTGGACCGACTGCTGCGTATATATACGTTATTGAATTCCAAAAACGTGGCCTCCCGCATGCCCATTTGGTCATCACATTTGTCGGCGGCTATAAAATATCGACACCAGAACAGCGTCGAGATTCCTGCCAATCTTATATTGCGTGAACTCGTGCTCACACATATGATTCATAACCCCTGCGGAGCACATAATCCACAAGCTCCTTGCATGTACAACGACCGTTGCTCCCACCACTTCCCTAAAGATTTTTCGAACCGTACAACATGGAACGAAGAAACCGGATATCCAATCTACCGCAAACGTAAACCGAACGAAGGAGGTGCAGCAATTCCTCGAGATAATATTCAACTTGACAACTCTTGGGTTGTTCCATATAACCCTTTCCTGCTCTTACGCTATCGTTGCCATTTGAATGTTGAGATTTGTGCATCTACTGCTGCATATCGATACATGTTTGAATACATCATGAACGGTCCAAATCGAGCAATGGTTGCCGAAATGACAACCGCAAATGATGAAATTCAAACGTTCCAAGATATGCGCACAATTGGCGCTGCCGAATCGTGTTGGCGTATATTTGATTTCCCTCTATCCGAACGATATCCAACCGTTTCTGCATTACCTGTCCACACTGAAAACCGACAACGTGTGTATTTCCGACAACAACAAGCTGCACGTATAGCACGAAACCCGCCACCAGAAACTGAACTCACAGCATGGTTCAAATGGAACCTCGAACATGCTGACTTCCCTGATGAAACGAAACCCCTTTATTAAAGATATGATTCATCGCTTCAGATTTGATAAACCAACAAAACGTTGGATTTTACGACGTTGGTCGACTAACACAATCGGCCGAATACATACAATCCATCCGAATGCGGGCGATACATTCTATCTTAGAATGCTCTTTCAATATCCGCATTCTCATGGCGCAACATCATTCGAACATCTTCGAACTATTAATAATGAAGTTCACCCATCTTTCCAATCAGCATGTCATGCACTGGGTCTTCTCAATGATAACACTCAATTCGATGCAGTCTTCCATGATGCTATCCTCACAGCTTCTCCATCAATGGTGCGAGACCTTTACGTCCACATTGTCTTGCACTGTGCACCTGCTGACCCTAAAGAACTTCTTCAAACGCATTGGGAACAAATGGCTGATAATTTCCATAGAGATTTCCGCGCTCCGAACATTCCCCCTGCAATCATCAAAACAATGCTCCTTATCGACATAGAAAACCGCCTTCAAAAAGAAGGTCATCAACTGCAAGACGTAGGTCTCGCCCCTCCTTCTCCCGCCGAACGAACCGAGGCTAACAATCTCGCCGAACAATCCGATCAACAACATGTTCCCCAAATTATTCGCGATGAGATTTCCTACAACACGAAAGATCTTCGAAACACACTAGCTACAAACCTCCCCCTCCTCCGACCATCGCAACATGCCATCTTCCACCGTATTGTAACTGCAACAGACAATAATGAACCGCTCTGTCTTTTCATTGACGCACCTGCTGGCACAGGCAAAACCTTCTTCTTCAACACCATCCTCGCACACATTCGAAATCAAAATCGCGTTGCACTGGCTGTCGCTTCGAGCGGGATTGCTGCCACGCTCTTGCATGGCGGTCGTACGTTTCACTCACGATATAAAGCTTCTCTCACCCCGACCTCGACATCAACACTAGACATTCCTAAACAATCTGCACTTGCTGAGCTTATCCGGATGACTGCTATCTTTCTTTGGGATGAAGCTCCTATGATACATAGATTCCATATTGAAGCGCTTGACCGTACACTACAAGATGTCTGCTCCTCTCATTTGCCTTTCGGCGGTAAAATTGTTGTTCTCGCGGGTGACTTTCGTCAAATTCTTCCCGTGATCACAAAAGGTACACGCGCTCAAACTATGGACGCATGTATTAAATCATCTACATTGTGGCAGCACTTTGACACCATGCATCTTTCTGAAAACATGCGCGTGCTTGCCCAAATCAACACCCCGGAAAGTCGACAATACGCTCAATGGTTGCTTACACTCGGAAATGGCGATTTACCCGGCCCCCCCAATGTCGGTTTCCCCATTGTTAACCTTCCTCCTCACCTTTGTCTGCATGAAGGTACTCAACAACTTATCTATTGGACATTCCCGCAACTTCTAACAAATTCTCAAAACCCGCAATGGCTTGCCGAACGTTTGATCCTATCGCCCAAAAACAAAACCGCCTCCACACTCAATTCCATTATACTCGATCAATTTCCGAGCCCTTTTATGACATGCCTCAACTCAGACTCGCTCCTGCCTAATGAACAGTATTCCGACGTACCTGTTGACGCACTGAATTCGATGGATATTCCGTCCCTCCCTCCTCATATCCTCTGTATAAAAAAAAATGCACCTGTCATACTGTTGAGAAACATCGCCATGCGAAACGGATTATGCAATGGTACACAACTCATTGTTGATTCTATTACTAACAATAGACTGCTCTCCGCACGAATTCTTCCATCTCTCCAACCAATTCTTCTCCCGCGTATTTTGCTTACAGTTACCGACCATACATACCCTTTCCCGTGGCAAAGACGCCAATTCCCTATCCGCCCTGCGTTTGCAATTACTATAAATAAATCACAAGGCCAATCTATTAAACACGCTGGCATTGATCTCCAACAACAGTGTTTCGCGCACGGTCAGCTCTACGTCGCCGCATCCAGAGTTGGTGATCCTTCCCATATCCGCTTCGCACTTCCTACAACCGCTACCCAAACAACCAATATTGTATACAAAGAAATCCTTTAATGAGCTTTTCGGTCACTTGCTCCCATTCTTTCTGACTGCCTTCCCGGTTTCTTTTGTTTGCCCTGCAGGTTCTCTGACAAAATCGCCACCAAACAAGATGTCGAAGACCTCACCATCGACAACTGCTACAAATATCCAAGTTTTTCCCGCTTCAACATCCGCAACTTCTATCGCTACCTCTACTTCTGCCACGGTCACTGCAGCCTCTACTCTTTCCGCTTCTACATCCACAAATTCTCTCGCTGCCTCTGCTTCTGCCACAATCACTGCCACCTCTACTCTCTCGCAAATCGGCCTAGATGACATCACGCTCAGCCAAATTCCTCTCCCAACCTCTTCCTCTGCCCCTTCTCAAATGACTGCATCTACCGTCGCAACCCCCCAACCAATAAGATGGGATTCTTGGTTAACTCTCATCAATAAAGACAATATCGAACGCATTATGTAAAATATTAGATCATATAAGCAATATATTTGAAATATATGAATAAAGAAATCATGAATATATAATAACAACTTCTCTGGGAGGATTTCCTTCTGACTAACCACGCGGCTTTCTCACCACACATATACGACTTCTTTTCCACTTACAAATATAACCGCACCCTTTCTCTCCGCCGTCCGGATCCATCATCGGACCCCAACATCCATTACGCGAGTACAAGAACGTTCTTACTGAAAATCATCAGCGACGACTACAATCATACACATTCCCCGCGAACACCACGACCCCAATATCAATACGAACGCATTACCACTGCCCACCATAGACAATCCTTCATCCGCTCTTCTGCCCCGCCGGAACAACCATTCCTCCATCCTCACAACATCTATGAACCTGGCCCTCCCTGGTGGCTTCCAATCGAGCCTTGGGGCGTTATACATGCAACAGCTCTCATCCATGACATACTTACCTTCCCCCACACATTGGCCATATACAATATTCCTCACCCGCCCCGCACTTGGGATTACCTCGACGACCTCATTTTCCTTCATCACCATCGTATGCAACAACCACTCCCGCCCTTCTCTACCTACAGAGCCGATATTGTCCGTCGTGCCGTTGCATACCTCCAAGCCCTGCCTCCGTTGCCGCCGCCATGAGCTCTCGACTACCTTCTACGACATCACATGCAAACAAGCCAAGAGATACGGCTCTCCACGCAACGAGGGAGCAGATACAATTCCGGCCATCTGACCGCACCGACAAGAGCAACGCCTGCCGTCCTCGCTGAACGAGAGGCGTCTGAGAGGACAAGCATCATTGCAGCAAGCCGATCGAGCAACAAACAGACAGCGAGAGAAACAATGACATACAGAGACAGAGAGACAAAACGACAAAGATAGAGAAAAGACACGATGCAGAGTGCCAAGAAGACACGCGTCATTGCAACAAGCCGATCAAGCATCAAAAAGACAGCGAGAGCAACAACCCGATCAAGCAACAAACAGACAGCGAGAGAGACAAAGACAAAGACAGACAGAGAGACAAAACAACAGAGATAGAGAAAAGACACGATGCAGAGTGCCGACATGTGGACAACAAAAACTGGGACGCAGCAACAGAAAGACGAAAAGATAAAGAGAGACGTAGAGAAAGGCTGAGAGAGATACAGAGAAAAAGACGAAGAGAAACAAGAGAGAGAGAGAGAGAGAGAGAGAGAGAGAGAGAGAGAGAGAGAGAGAGAGAGAGAGAGAGAGAGACATAGAAAAAGGCTGAAAGAGATAGAAACAGAAAGAGAAAGAAACACAAATGCTACAAACTCTTAACTTCTTACTCCAATCTTCACGGCATGCTGTAAACATTTCCATACAATTCGATACTTTCAATCTCCATCTCTCCCTATTCGGCCTCCCTTTTGTGCAAACTCCCCTTTCACACACACGTGCCCAAACACGATCTCTGTTCCTTTTTTTTCACCCTTCACAATTCTTTTTTCCTTTTCTTACTGCATGTATGTGGTCACCGTCCTACGCTGCGGGGGGTCCACTTGTTTCCATAAAGGAAAGAGCTCTGGCCAGGCAGCCTCATTCAGGCACTCGCATGCTGGCGGCAGCGCTGCTGGAGCTCATGCTCGTAGGCTGCTGCTAGCGCTGAGAGGCRAGGTGCAGCACGTGCGGTCGTGCAGAGGAGGAGGGCGCTGCTGAGGGCAGCGCCATAGCCCAGCCACCATAGCTGGTGGGCTTGGACTACAGTGAAGCGCAGGGGTGGTCTTCGGGTCAAAGAGAGGACAGGTGTGGTGTAGTCAAGGGATAGGTGAAGGATGATGATGATGATGATGATGATGATGTGAGAGCACGTACCTTGTACTGGCGATGGTCTGCATGGGCGACATCTTCAAGTACTTCGGGCTGCCGCTGATGTCAACAGTTGCATTGTCTTTTTGTAGTCTGTAGTAGCTGTGTAGRAGTASGCTGGGCGCTGAGCGCCAAGTGTGAGTGTGAARRAACTGGACTCTTGTGTTGGRAGGAGAGAGTATGCTCTCCATGAACATTGGTTTTCAGTGCTACGAACCTCCATTGGTGTATTATTGGTGCAATGCTGCTCTCTGGACACAGTGTGACTATTTGGCTTTCAATGTGATGGTGCGATCTGGAATTGTCATCTCGCTGTTACTTATTTTTCTTGCACCTGTTCCACCCAGATGAGTAGATAAAAAATCCAAGCAACTTTACCTCTATTGCAGACCATGAAACAAACTTGAGATGAGCCAATGCAACAATGAAACAGTTTTACCTCTATAGCAAGCAACATGCAACAGAACAGAATAGATGATTAGAATATCATTATATCCCTTCCTTGACTATCTTTACTTTAATGTGTGTGCGTGTATTCAACTTCTTGCATCAGGATTTGAACTTCTCAATCTCTAATCTGTTTATCAAGGGCTATACATGTACGTGCAATTCAGTTGCAAGGCGGGAGCACACAGCTCACAAAAACTGATCACAGAGGGTCACTGATATGTAACGAACCCTGTGAGAGAGACGATTTTCCTTTTTTTTTCTTTTTTTTTTCTAACCAAAACACCCAAGCCCCTTCTATTCTGGGGGGCGTCAGTCTGATTGCTTATCACCGGCAAGCATGAGTACAAAAAAAAGAGCCAAAAGAAGTTTAAAGAACAGAGTTGAAAAAGAGTCAGCCTACCGTCTTCACCCAAATAGAACGCACGGTCATTACAGCCATATTTGGTGGACGTTTAAGTCCAGATACAGCTATAATAACCAGGCGCTCTATTCGGGTGAAGACGGTAGCCCTTGGAGTGCGAGTCACCTACTCAAAGGGGGGGCTGCTACTAGCCGATCACCCCCCAGACAATTGCTTTCCTAGGGGGCTCCTGCTGGCCGGGAAGCTTACTGGCAGCACCCAGTCACGCAGCGGAAGGACTCTAGGAAAGGCGAAGGGGGGGGGAGAGAGATGATTTCCATGAAAGAACGGGTCAACCTTCAAAGAAATGCTATGCTCCATCTGCAAGGCTCGTTAGGACAACTCTTTCTTGAGACCGCAAATGATTCCGCAGCTACCCATCCATCCCACAAAATGCTACAGTGCAGACACAGCCTCTACGTTTGAGCAAAAACACTTGAAAAATTTGCTAGATAGTGAACACTGTAGTAAACAGTGTAAACACCATCAAAAATTTGAAATCGTAAAATATAAGCTAGAGTTCTAAACACCCCCGCTATTAAAAAAATTGCAGAATTTCTCTCTTAGGACCCTTACGTCTTTGCACCCACCAGATTGGGGTACATCATACATGGACACGAAAACTAGATAAGGAACCAGGACCAATGCAGACTGCAAGGTCATTGCAATAGTGTGCCATTAAAATGGGTCCTTTACTTCAAAGGAGTATCAAACAAAAAGGACAAAGATTGTCATTGCTAGAGCACACGTCCTTCGGGRCATTCGTTAAAATAGGAACGATACAGAGAAGATTARCATGGCCCCTGCTGCACRTGGATGMGAAAAAAAGGAYGTTAGAGMYCACTAATGCTGAGTCACAGCTGGGCCCAGTTCAGGGGTCAAATGCATTCTGTCAGTTGGCCCCAGCTGCAAAAGTCCCCCCAAAACAGGGCAAGCACCAGTTGTGAATCTGTGGGGGGCTTACTTGGACGTCTCCTCCTTTTTCCCCGGATACAACACTGAGCTGTATGACTGTAGCTCACGTCCATAATTGCCACGGAATACAAATGCCTGAAGATCAAGTGCAATCTCAGCACACACATGCACACCCAGGAGAGAGAGAGAGAGAGAGAGAGAGAGAGAGAGAGAGAGAGAGAGAGAGAGAGAGAGAGAGAGAGAGAGAGAGAGAGAGAGAGAGAGAGA